CTGCTGAACTTGAATCAGGTTTATCTCTATTGGGTTTCCTACAGGGAACAGGTAACAATCTGATCAATATCTGAGGCCAGCAATATCCTTAGTTTACACAAATCAGTGATTGAAATGTTGTTAAGCCACTTCATTTAAAATGCCAATAGCCTACAAATTACCTGAGGCCTGGTTCCATCTGTATTATAAAGAACTAAGATGAATTTTCTTTTGCATTCACAAAGCCTATTACCTCAGACAATAAAACTCAGTACTCATGAATACCTTCAGCCCTAACAGGCCCTATTAGATATAACTTTACTCTTTGATCATGTTAAAAAGCATTAGAAAGAAATTATTTCCCCTGTCATTAGTTCTATCCCTGGCATTCAATAAACAAAGTTTAGTTCCATAAGAATATGCTTCCCTGATTAATAATTGTAAAGCTCAGCGCTCAAAATACTTACGTAAAAGGGTGTGAATATCAACAACACAGTTTGCATTTACAAAACTCATTTTAGATACTGGTCATTAAGTCTCTGACCCCAAATTAATTGAAGTTTGTGGACTCACTTGGATTACTTATTTCAAGCAATATTTGCAGCATAAAGTTCAAATTAAAAAGTAATTTGAAGAGTCACCTGGAGTTCATTAGATTTTATGACTAGTAATCATTTCAAATGTTTCCCTAAATTGAGATCAAGTTTACATTTATTAATTTTCTTTTGCTCCACATTTAATTAGCAATTCAGAAGATTACTATTTTTAAAGATTTTAGCTGCAGGTCAAGCTTCACTAATTTTATTGACTTCAGAGCTACCAAAAACTAAGAAATTGTCTTTATAAAGGATTTAAAGGCTTAAGTGGGTGTCTGATTTGCAAAAAGAATTGGGAGATTCTCTCAACATTTTATTTTTTTAGTTTCTGAAATACAAATCAAAACACATTTTTGTTACACATCATGATAACAAGCTTGACATTCTTTTCAATACAGGATGACTTAATATAGGTACTTTAAAACTTCCTTTATAAAAACAATAAACTTGGGCTTCCCTGGTGGCACAGTGGTTGAGTCTGCCTGACGATGCAGGGGACACGGGTTCGTGCCCCGTTCCGGGAAGATCCCACATGCTGCGGAGCAGCTGGGCCCATGTGCCATGGCCGCTGAGCCTGCGCGTCCGGAGCCTGTGCTGCGAAACGGGAGAGGCCACAACAGTGAGAGGCCCGTGTAAAACAATACACTTTATTTTGGAGGGAAATAGCTCATCATTAAAAACATACATTGGTACACAGGCTATTATTTTTCATTATTTTAGTGTTTACGAATGCCAAACTTGGATATCATGCCTGCCCTCTGAACTGAAAATTTCGTCCTCACAATATATAAGTATTCCTCCTGTAACAAAAACAAATTAAACCATACTGTTGTAAAAAACAGAAATATTTGGCATAGGCCTCTGAGTGGGCTTGAAAAACGAGTTACGATGTGTTTCAACTGTATGGAAGAACATTCTAGAATCTACCTAGAAACATCTGGCAAAACAATTGGCCTGGTGCTGTTGGGGTTGTTCTGCCTCAGAGGGGGATAGAGGGTGCATGGCAGGGTGCTGAAGACTCACAACAGCCACAGAATCACTTACTCAAAGTTAACCAAGATTCAATACAGAATAATATACAACAATAGAACAATCTCAACTACTATTATTGTTATTCAATGCCTGGAAAGCAAGTTGTAAGCTAAGAAAAAAATACCTCAGCAGGA